GAAAACCAGAATCATTTATCCCATTCCCGCCCACGCAGTTCCGTCAAGGTGAGCTAACATCCAATATCTGACACTAGCTGCACTCCAAAGTCTAGGCTGCATTTCGTGGCTGCTACGTCATAGAAATGCAGCCTACGTTCTGAGGGATTTCAAGGACACAACTGATTTATCCGTCCAGGCTTCGGTTACCCACAGTTCTCTGCGCATAAACGACGCGAAGGAAAAAAAAACAGCAACACGAAAATGGTGAAAAAAAACGAAGCCATCAGAGCAGAGCTTGTTTTAAAATGTAAGTTGTTCGCGTTCTTGAATTCGTCCTCATCACTTTATAAAGTGTAAAATGATTAATTAAAGGATTCGACCAAATATCATATTTTATTTAGAAGTACTTGTATATGTGTAGTTTATTGTACTACATAAGAACATCTCCTCCACTTCCGTGAAGAGATGATAAAGTAACAAACTCAATGCAACCGGCTCCATTTTGTCTCACCAGCTCTCTCACAAGTTTTGCGCCACAATTACAAGAGGCGGGACCTTTCAGGTGGCGTCACCATGCAGCCTCGTTAGGACAGTTCCATTTGTGTGACTAATAGGCTACTAAGGAGGAGCCTTCATAGGGCAGTCCTACCGAGGACCCGCCCTCCCTCAGCTGCAGTCTGGGCTCTGGAACACAGCTACTGTCTGTTCACAAACACATTATTCTCTGCTGAAATAACAGGTCAGTCGTGGTCGTCAGGCTCACTGTGAGCAAGTTCACCAAACGCTGTTTATTCACTCTTTAACCACAGAGCAGGAATTAAACCACAGAGCGGGTATTTTTGGTGTTTTGCTGGGCAGCTGCGGCCGTCGGACTGAAGGCTTCGTCTCTGTGAGCTACGAGAATCTAGGTGTTGTTGATCGGCTGCTTCACAGCTCTTTAAAACGACTTTGTTTATTTTAACCGTTTTACTCTCATCGTTTTAGTTTATATATGATTTAGTGATTGTTCTATTTTATTTAGTCTGTTCATTCATTTGTGGGATTTCTCTTTATGCGTGTTTTGTCCCGCTCCCGCCTGCAGTGGGCTAGTTTCCTGCCTACTCCTGCACACAGCACTGAACATTAGTCCCATGCTGTGAGATATTGTGGTGGTCCCGAGGGTCCAGACCTCTAGTTGGAGCTACAGTCTTCAGGAATGTAGATCTCCAGGAGCAGCACAGGAGATCTAAAGTCTAAAGACTCGATTCTCCTACTGTGATATGTTAGTGAGTGAGGGAGGATCTCTGACCTCGCTGAGCGTTTAAAACATCAGACTATTGGTTGATATTATTTTGCCCCACCCATTAGTGCACAGTGACATCAGAGATCAGAAGATGTTTGAGAGGCAAGACAAACGTCATTATATTTAGATGATTTAGAGGATTACAGGAAAATAAGAATACAGTCTTTTAAATGATGTGATACTGAGGCGTCATGTAGAAGGAGACCCAGGAGAGACCATTATATCTGCTATGAGAGGAGCTCTTTATTCACACCAGCAGAAAAGCAATGTAAAAAACGTCAGTGCAACTTTATGGTAAACACACTAACTCAGACAATCAACCCCCCACAATAACACACCATCAACACACACACACATTCAAACCAACACAAACAACATAAACAACAGCACAGCAACAGAAATGGTCTTTTCTAATGGAGGGGGGTGGCTTTCCTAACCACGCCCCCTGAGCTCCTCTTCACACCACACTATGACTAATCATGATTAATATGAGCAGAATCCCGAATTAAGAAGATTAAAAAGGCCAGTTTAGATCTCAGGTTGACTTTAAATGCTTCAAATACATTTTAAGATAAATGCCAAGTGAGTCTGATGCCTTTTACTTCCAAAAACAAATATTTTTAATGTAAATATATACATCTTAATTGCCCCCAGTGCAGTGTGATCATGTAAGTATGTTCTCCTATTGGAAAAGTATCTCCTTATGAAGCTGTTTGAGAGACAACCAAGAATACGAGAGGCAAAAATTGGAGCTACTGAGGAATCTGAAATAAAAGCCTCTAGAGTCCAGCGTTTCTCCTGAACTGAAGGTGTTAATAGTGAGTCTGTGCTGCAGTAACAGCTTCGACTCTTCTGGGAAGGCTTCTAGATGTTGAACATTGTTGTGAGGATTTGATTGAGCATTTGTGATGTTGGATGGTCAGGTCTGGGTCACTCCAACTCATCCCAAAGGTACTGGATGGAGCTCCACCAGTCCAGAGAACACAGTTCCACTGCTCCACAGCCCAATGCTGGGGGGCTTTATACCCCTCTAGCCCACGCTGGGCACTGGGCAAGGAGATCTTAGGATCATATGTTGATGTAGCCGAATGAAAATGAGAATCACATCGTAACTCTTCTTATTTAAACTTCTCTGGAGATGTAACTGCTTGTATTAACTGTGTTTGTATGAACTTCTCTCCTCAGACAGGAGAACATTTTTCCCTCATGACCCCCTGACGTTCCCGAAACATCCACATCTGCATTTTTATGGCTACAAAATCTCATTTCTTTTTAGTGCCTTGATGGCAGAACATTCATGCTCATAAAGTTCCAGCTCAGACAGAGCCGCACGAATCACTGGTTTTACTTTTATTAAGGCACAAAAATAAACACCAGCAGCTGCATCTGACCAGCGTCGAGCTCAGTGTCACCACTGTTACCACGGCTTCGTTACTGTACACATCTATTTATAATCATATGCACTTTGAGCACCTGCCACAGTTTGTGTCCTATTTTTCCCAATATGCTAAATTCACCAGATACACACAGGAGAAGTTACAGTGTGCAGGTCTGTGCTCACTGTAAAGGACGTGACAACTCAACGTGTTTTATTAGAAAATCAAAAGACGAGTAATTCGTCCTGGGGTGACCAAACTTCTGCATTTAATGAAACCGTCTGAAGCCGCAGTGGCAGATGCCGTCGGTGTGACTGATGTAGTAAATCTGAGCTGTGTGGTGATTTGGAGAATCTGCACTCTTAAAACATGTAATTATGTTCTTTGTAGTTTAGTTCTGGTTGGGCCTGAACCGCTTGGGGCTCATTTGGTGGAGAATCAGTGCTTTAATTTGGGCTAATTTAGAAAATTCCTGCAGGAAATTGGACGTGTTTTGTCTGAGCTACTTCCTCACAACTCTAAAATAAACAGAACATGTAAACATGAAGTCAGCAAAGCCACAAAGGGACAATTACTCAACCAGTTCATGAAGATAAGATCATTTTTTTTTTCCTTGATTCAGTATGAGCACACGGCATTAAAATATGGTAAAATTTGGGTCCCAGTTTATTTGGATAGATTATCTACATATGTTCAATTATTAATAAGAAGAATATCTTTATTTATACAGTACTTTTCATAACAGTAATAGAAGAAACATTGAGTTTTAATTTAAAATCATATAAGATCAGCTTAAAGAGATAAAGACCAAAGAGCCGTAGAGTGTTAATGAAGCGCGAGTTAAAGAGCTGCGTTTTCAGATGACTTTAACTTATTATGAGCTCCACAGTTTAGAAGCAGAATAACTGAAAGAGTCTCTCCACGTTTTCTGTGTTTTACTGAAGGAGTTCAGAAGGTCAGAATCTGCAGATCTGAGATCATAAACAGACATTCAGGAGCTTTAAGGTCATTTAGAGCTTTAAAAACCAGCAGCAGAGCTTTAAACTCTCTCTAACAGATCCAGGCGGTCAGTGCAGTGTGTAACGGGGGGATATGAGCTCTCTGTGTTGGTGCTGTGAGGATCCGTGCTGCTGCGTTCTGTACAGGTTCTAGAGGATGGACTGTTTTCTCCAGTAAGAAGATCATTACAGTGATCAACTCTGCTTAATAACAGACCATCTGGTGAGTCTTTTGACTCTGGACAGAATCTAGGAGTGTGTACTCATCAGCACCTCTATCTAAATAGAGAAACGCTGGGCCTCGTTCTCCGCTGGGCCTCGTTCTCCGTTCTTAAGAAGTCGTTTCTTCTTAAACCCACTTACTCAGTTTTTACGAAGACTCTGACTCACCAGTGTTCTCTTATGTGGGGTTTATTCTGAGGTAAGAGCAGAATCTACACACACTCAAGAGCACTAAGGAGAGAACAGTTCTGTGCTTTAAGAACTGAAACTTCAGGCAGCTGAGAAAAGTGGGTTCTGTGGGAGAGAGTTTCTCCCTCTGGAGGGAACGCTGAGCTTTGGGACTTTGCAGAACATTTACATGCACAGAAAGCTACAACTCACTAAAGGGAAGAGAAGAACCGGAAAAGCAGAATAAAGGTCCTCTTTAAGATGTTTAAGGTGTGAACAAGAAACTCAGAAACACACTGTGGCATCGGCGAAGAATAAGACACAGGAAACATTGCGCTTTAAAGGTCAAAGACCTTTTATTGAACAGGAAGCAAAAGAGAACTGCAGCTCAGCGCTGCTGAAATGGCTGGGAGGCAGGAAGGTCACTTAAAGCTGTACGAGTCTCCTTCACTAAGACACTAACACTGCAGCAACTACAGCCCAGCACAAACACATGCACCTCATTACCTAGCAACAGCTTATTTACAATAAACGTCTCTCCTACCGTGAGCGCGGAGCCTCCTGAAAGCCTCCTACCACATCTGTTCTGCATGGCCACGCCTTCCAGTAGCACCAGTAGAGCCAGTAGTGGGACGCTACAATATAAACATACATATAAAATTCAAAAAATAACCCCAGTGGTCACATCTTTTCTATACATATACATATATATATATATGATGACTTTACAGGAGAAAGAAAAAAAAAGAAGCTGCACAGCTTCTGTCTTCCTCTCCTGTCAGTTTATACGTCATGTTTTCGCTCTGTGATCTGAACATGTGATTCCATGCTGGTCTAAGCTGGTTTATGCTGCTTTAGCTGGTCACCCAGAATGGTCATGCTGGTTGAGCAGCAGACCAGCATCGAGAGGGTTTAGACTTGTTTACAGACATCCTGCTGAACCTGGTCTCACTGTTTGGTTCTGTTTTACAGAAGAGTGCGGGTTCCTCTCTTCCTCTCTCATACGACAGCAGCATTGTCTCCTCCCCCACCGCCCCCCTGCTCACGGACCACCACGCCCACACCACACAGCAGCTCTACCCGGTTAGTAACACACACACAGACACTATACACTATATGGCCAAAAGTATGTGGACACTTGACCATCACACCTCTATCAGCTTGCTGGACGTCCCATTCTAAAACCATAGACATTAATATGGAGTCCGTCTGCCCTTTGAGGTTGTAATAGCCTCCACTTTTCTGGGAAGACTTTGGAGAGAGTCTGTGGGACTTTCTGTCCATTCAGTCTTAAGAGCATTTGTGAGGTCAGACACTGATGTTGGACGAGAGGGTCTGGCTCACAATCTCCGTTCCAGTTCATCCCAAAGGTGTTCATTAGGGTTGAGGTCAGGGCTCTGTGAGGGCCACTGGAGTTCCTCCACACCAAACTGGTCACTCCATGTCTTTATGGAGCTGCTTTGTGCACTGGGGCTCAGTCATGCTGGAACAGGAAAGGCTCCTCAAACTGCGGACACAAAGCTGGAAGCAGAGAACTGACTAATTGTCTAAATGTCACTGATCCAGAGTCCAGTGGTGGCGCTTTACACCACTCCAGTCGACGGTTGGCATTGTGCATAGTGATCTTAGGTCTTGATCTTGTGTGCAGCTGCTCAGCCATGGAAACTCATTTAATGAAGCTCTTTACACACAGTTCTTGTGCTGATGTTGCTTCCAGAGGAGGTTTGGAGCTCTGTAGTGAGTGATGTAACAAAGGATCGGCCATTTTTATGCCCTTCAGCAGTCAACGCCCCGAGTCACTTTTGTGCAAAATGAGCCTTGCTCAAATTTTGATCTTAGTTAAAGCCGTGCAGATGTACGAACTGAATGAAATATAGATTCATTAGGAAACAATTCAATACATTATGAAACATCATAGTTCACTTTGTGTAGCGTCACACGAGTCACACACCTGCGGATAAAAAAGGCAAATGAGGCCTTACTAGTTGATTCGCTTTCCAGAGTCATTGTCAAAAAACAGTGAGTTAGGGCTGGATGGATGTGTGACACTAGGATTCTTATGATGTAATTCACATACTAATAATAATAATGATAATAATAATGATAAAAAAACACCAAAATTTATTTTGGATTTTTACATTTGGAAATAGTTCTCCAAAAATTTTTTTTCCAGAAAATGAGTGCATACATTATAGAATATTACTATTTAATATTAATATTATTTGAAACATTCCATAATCAATGCATCTTCAAACTGATACATCAGAACGTGAGAACGCACCAGTGATCAGCAGCTACATCAGTTTTTATTAGCAGGAAGGTTTCTGCACTCTTCAGTCTGTGATGTCTCCACTCAGATTGATCTCTGAGGTCGGTCCCAGAGCGAAATGTCCCAGAATTCCTCTCCTTAACCCCACATTCCCTCTCTCTCACACCCAGGCAGCTCGCTCGCTCTGGGAAACATGTGAAACGAGCACAAACTATGAAAACATTCCTCTCGTTAAAGATAAACAGAGCAGTGCATGTGGAGATCTGATGGACAGTCTGAGTAAAGTGGACGTTTGTGTTTGTGTTTCTGTTTTCCCAGAAGGCTTCACTCTATGTGCGTCCAGCAGCTTCAGGAGCATCAGCGGCCGATTCTCAGAGTGGACATCCGGAGAACCAAAAGCACATGGAACCAAACCCACCCCCGTTCGCCCCGCTCTACAACCTGCTGCCCTAAAACACTAAAGTTTACCGCTGCTTTATAAACACTAACACTGCACAGACGCACCAGATCCAGAAAACGTCCTCAGCGCCTCACAGAGCAAACAGACTGCATTTAAACGACCCGCGCCAATCAGAGAGTCTGGACCCCTTCACAGCACCCGATCACAAATATCAGATGTTTGGGGCGTCATCAGCGACTGGGTTCTGCCTCACACAGCAGGATTTATTGTTTATCCAGATAACTTTAAGCTCAGTTCAATCTGACTCTGAATTTCCTGTCTCACAGTGGTGGATCACGTTTTACCAGAATACATCACCATGGCAACTATTGCTGCACCAAGTTCAGGATTACATATCATAAACAGCTTTAACTAATCAGGGCTGAACTTCTGACCAATTAGCAACAGCCCTCTGACCAATTAGGTACAGGCTTCTGACCAATCAGGGACAGCCCTCTGACTTATCAGGGACAGCCTTCTGACCAATCAGGGACAGCCCTCTGACTAATCAGGAATAGCCCTCTAACTAATCAGGAACAGCCTACTGACCCATCAAGGACAGCCTTCTGACCAGTCAGGGACAGCCCTCTGACCAATCAGGCCCAGCCTTCTGACCAGTCAGGGACAGCCCTCTGGCCAATCAGGGACAGCCGTCTCAACAATCTCTTCTGACTAATCAGATATACTAAGATGTGTTTATTGCAGTGCCGTTGTTCCACCATCCCAGAATCAGCGAACAGCTCTCCATCTGTGAGCGCTGACTGACCTGCCTGATGCAGGACGTATTTTTGAGCCTCTGACTGCAGTTTTCTGTCTTCAGGCTGATGGAAAATCACTGATTTTGACTTTAGATCTGATGTGAACATTTAACTGGCCGTTAGCACCAATTTTCCCCAATTAACAATCAGCGCTATCTACAAATTAGCATCAGTGACAGATTCCTGCTGCTGTTTCTTGTGAGAATAATAGACCACGAGTGTTTCCAGGTCAAATTTCTGTAAATCTGAAAGCAGCTCAGATTCAGACTCAGCCCAATTACAGAAACTCTGCAGATAAACGAGGCTCGCCCAGCATGCAGACCGCTGAGTTTATGACCAAACAGATGTATAAACATCTCCGTCACCATCACGGCAGAGAAATAAACGATCAGGGCTGCATGGTAACGTGTTTTACGAGCACTGACTGCTCAAACCTGCTCCAGCCAGCTGGCAGGATCAAAAAGAGAAACAGTAACAGTAAGAATGACAATCCATCACGGCTAAACGTGTCTGTATGATTTGGAAAGAGTGACCGAGCTGTAAAACCGAGCTGCCAGCTTTAGATTAGAGGTGTTGAGAGACCTGCAGGAAGTTTCAGCTGCTTTGATCTTCTTCATCATCTTCATCATCTGCAGCTCTATTGTCCAGTTCTAAGTGTTTATTTGCTCGTTAGTGTAACAAACTGTCAGTAACAGAAGTGAAGCCTTCACAGATGGAATGTAAATCTGTGTACATAACCTGTAAATAATTTCTCTTTCTGTTTTATATTTTTATGACTTCTACACTTTAGAGTGAGTAAGACTTTCCTACATCCTGAGAAAGACGCATTTTATACCACAGTGTATTTACAATTAAACTCTTATCACAACAGAAATGTTTCTCCTCTCTTTTTTAAACTCACTGCAGGATTATGTGGTTTCTGACACTGTATAACACACTGATACAGAACACGGCCAAAAGTATGTGGACACCTCACCATCACACCTATATGAGCTTGTTGGACGTCCCGTTCCAAAACTATGGCTATTAACATGGTTTGCAGCTCTAACAGCTTCCACTCTTCTGGGAAGCTTCTACAAGATGTTGGAGTGAGTCTGTATGAATTTGTGTCCATTCATCCAGAAGAGCATTTGTGAGGTCAGACACTGATGTTGGACGAGAGGGTCTGGCTCACAATCTCCGTTCTAGTTCATTCCAAAGGTGTTCAGTGGGGTTGAGGTCAGGGCTCTGTTCAGGCCACTGGAGTTCCTCCACACCAAACTGGCCACTCCATGTCTTTATGGAGCTGCTTTGTGCTCAGGGGCTCAGTCATGCTGGAACAGGAAAGGCTCTTCCCCAAACTGCTGACATATAACTGTGTAAAATGTCTTTGTGCTGCAGCATCAACATCACCCTTCACTGGAACTGAGAGCCCAAACCCTGAAAAACAGCCCAGCCCATCATCCCTCCTCCACCAAACTGTACAGTTGGTTCTGCATTCCGGTAGGTAACGTTCTCCTGACCTCCACCAAACCCAGATTCATCATGAGTGAAGCTGATTCATCACTCCAGAGAACACGGTTCCACTGCTCCAGAGTCCAGTGGCGGCGCTTTACACCCCTCCAGCCGACACTTGGCATTGAGCATAGTGATCTTAGGCTTGTGAGCAGATTTCGGCCATGGAGACGCATTTTCTAATGCTACTGTTTGGGTTCTATTGCTAGACAACATTATAACTCTGAACTTAAAAAGATTTGAAAATATTTTTTAAAAATCTGCATTCGACAGGGTAACAGGCACAACCTCCACTTTCAAAGTGCATCACTCGTCAGTCAAATTTAAAAGTTTATGAAATTACTGGAAAATTCCTGAAAGCGCCGTATCTCTGAAAGCTGCCGCTGTTAGCGATGCTAATGTATGTTTATAGACAACAGTGAGTCATTCAGTGTCAGAAACCACAAAATCAAGGACTGATTTTTCATTAAACTGTTGCTTTAAGTCTGTGAACTGTGGCTGGACATTTTAGTCCCCATGTGTTAAACGCAAGGCCTGTGGACACACATTACAAACGCCTACACTGGGTCACAATAAAATGCTAATTAAAAATCCAATAAAAACACAGGAGCTTTCTGGCCCACAGGATTATTAATATGGTGGAGTTTGACAGCCCTGCTCTGTGAGACGGAGACAGTGTTTACAGTGAAATGTCAGATTCCTGTTTGTCCCAGCTCCGGTTACAGTCTAATCTGATCCGGAGGATAAAGGAGCCGGAGCGTCCAGCCTGAATCAGAGAATTCAGAGAACACTGACCCACCGTTACAGTCAGGACCCTCACTGAGATACAGCAGATAAAGAGTCTGTAAAGTGGAATTAATGAAGTAATTAAGCTGTTTTTATCTGTAAGGCACTCATTACAAATCTCTAAACTGTCACAACCACTAATTCATCTATGATGCTGCTTCGTTTTATTTTATATATATACACAGATCATCACATTAATATGTGTAATTTGTAAATGAGATAATGAAATAAATGAAGCTCTGCTGACTCAGGAGGTTTACTACTGTATAGACTGCTCCACTGAATTAGTTCACACTGCACTCTCACAGTAAAAACAACATTAATAATCAGTGACGTTTTCAGATCTTAGATATTTACACTGCTTCTGTTTATATCTGTTTAGACCAAGACATTAATAGAGACAGTAATAAACTAAATGTATACAATGTTGCCATTTATATGGCTCTTTCTACTGGGAGGAGTCTGTCCCAAACGCTAAACCCCTAAAATTACACATCTAGAAATAATACTTAATTTTTTTATTGTATTTTTTCAATGTTATTTTAAAAAGATCATTTTGTTTTATTTTAAAGTGAAGTTGAAAGATTTAAATTTTAGATTTGAATTTTTAACTAAAAAACTATGTTCATCTCACTACTGCAACAGTTTTATCAGTCACTACTAAAACAGTACTACTGAAACAGACACTACTGAAACAGTCACTACTACTGAAACAGTCACTACTACTGAAACAGACACTACTGAAACAGTCACTACTACTGAAACAGTCACTACTACTGAAACAGACACTACTGAAACAGTCACTACTGAAACAGACACTACTGAAACAGTCACTACTACTGAAACAGTCACTACTGAAACAGTCACTACTGAAACAGACACTACTGAAACAGACAATACTACTGAAACAGACAATACTACTGAAACAGTCACTACTGAAACAGTCACTACTACTGAGACAGTCACTACTGAAACAGACACTACTGAAACAGACACTACTGAAACAGTCACTACTACTGAAACAGTCACTACTGAAACAAACACCACTGAAACAGACACTACTGAAACAGACACTACTGAAACAGTCACTACTACTGAAACAGTCACTACTGAAACAGACACTACTGAAACAGACACTACTGAAACAGACACTACCAAAACAGACACTACCGAAATAGTCACTATCGAAACAGACACTACTGAAACAGACACTACTACTGAAACAGTCACTACTGAAACAGACACTACTGAAACAGTCACTACTGAAACAGTCGCTACTGAAACAGTCACTACTAAAACAGACACTACTGAAACAGTCACTACTGAAACAGACACCACTGAAACAGACACCACTGAGACAGTCACTACTGAAACAGACACTACTGAAACAGTCACTACTGAAACAGACACTACTGAAACATCTGGTACAGTTTGGGTAGTTATGATTGTTTTGGTAGAGTCAGAATGGAATGTTTAATCATTCATTTTAATAATCATAATTAAGGTTTAGAGTCAGAGTAAAAAGATTTTAGTCTAAAGTCATCAGTTAAAATGTTTGAGCTCTGACTCTGAGTCAGTTCAGCAGAATGTTCAGAATGTAAAGTGCTGTAAATGTATGTTCAGCAGTGCAGCTGGATCGTGAGTGTAAATGTGTGCAGAACCCTCAGAAACTCCACTCTGCACTTCATCACTGAGTCTTCACGTCTCCTGCACTGAACATCTGTGTTTACTGTTTATTTATTTAGTCAAAAATCTCCTGAGTCTGATGTCTGTTTATTCATTTACAAACACAAAAGCTGCATTTGTTTATTTCCTCACTCTCATTACACTTTCATGTATTTTAGTAGAAGGAAGATGGAAATGCTCAGGATTTATTGATTGTTTTGCACTGTATGCTTTTTTATTCAGCTCATAAATGTGTGAATGTTCTGTGTTTCCTGAACTGGAATAATCCAGAGACGTGACTGTTGGAGTGAAGAGCTGATGAATGAAAGCTGGACTGTTTTTTCTTTAGAAGCTCTCTGACCTTTTTACTGAAACTGAGGAACAAAAACTCCTAAGCTCTGCGTGTCGGCAGTAACAGAACTTCAGACTGACTGTAATAAATAAACCAGTTTAGTCACAGTTTAAGCCTCAGTCCATCAACCTGTTTACTCTCTTTTTGGTCATTTTTTTCAATTTTCCCCCAATTTAGTCGTAACCAATTCCACCCACTAGTTAGGACTCCCCCAATCACATGATGACACCAGCTCGAGGAAGGTAAAGGGAGACACAAGTATCTGTCTGTAGGGTTAATCCAGGGACCCCCACCTCAAGTGGTTCAGGCCTGGTTTGCTGATTGTAACTGAGTCTCCTACGGTGGATCAGATGAAGCTGAAGATGGCGTCTTATTCTTATGTCCCATTCCACCTTAAATACTGTGGTGTGGTCACAGGCTCTTTGGGTTTGAGGGCAGTGTGTTGGAAGTATCTCCCTGTGTTAATATGGCTGATTGGCGAACACCTCTGACGCCCATCAAACCAGAGAAAACGTACTTCAAAGCCGGTCGCACACCGATTCACACCAATTCGACCAGACGTGTCGCCCCTCGGCTGGACGTTTCTTTCTGCATGTTCAAAATAAAATTCGAAAGCATTTGCTCACGATGTTTTCACGTCACAGTACGGCTCTTTATATAGCACCAAAAAGCCTCTTGATATAGAATTAGGAACCATTAGCCAACGGTGTTTTGCACACAGAGGAATTAGACCTCCGTATTTAAACCAGCCGTGCAGTGAAACACCCGCATACATACACACTAGTGAACACACACACTAGGGGGCAGTAAGCAGCCCTATCCACAGCACCCAGGGAGCAGTGTGGGGTTAGGTGCTCAAGGGCACTTCAGTCACATACTGTCAGCTCGGGGGTTCGAACCGGTGACCTTGGCATTATTAGCACCACGCTCTGACCAGCTGAGATAACCAGCTATCGTTACAATGTCAAGCTTGCACAAACACACACTGCTCACACTCACTCCTCAGAATCACTCCCTGCTCAAACTAACCCCCTCCTTAAACACACTCACTCCTCAAACTCACTCCTCAAATTCACCCAATGCTCAATGTCACTCCTCAAACTCACTCCTCAAATTCACCCAATGCTCAATGTCACTCCTCAAACTCAAGCGCTACAAAAATGCAGCTGTAGACTTGAACGGTACCAGACAGAGATAGAGAACTGAGGCAAGAGAAAATGAGAGGAAACTTTGACAGAATAAACACTCACTGAAAAACAAACCCAGCTCCAGCTCGATGTTACGCATAAAAATACTGCCCAAAACCCAGTATTTTATCGGACCGATCAGCCCTGAGTTGTGAAGCAGAGCTCTAAATCTGAGACCTGCAGGGAATCGTTTATTATAGCATTTCTGAATCTCAGTAAATAGAAATTATTGGGAAAACATCTGTTTTCTATTACAGGAAGTGTTCACTTCTTCTTTCTTCTTGTTTTTTATGTTTTTGTTTACAAGAAATGTCAATGATCAATGCTGAATTTCTGAAAGATCTGTTGATTTAATGCTCTCATTAAATGAAAAAGC